GGGTAAAAAGCCACTCTTTCGGATCAAGACCACCACCCCCATCCACGCCATCATCCTCCTCAATCCCATCATATACCACATCACCATCACCATCAGCTCTACAATACGAGCTCCAATCCGTCTTCAAATCACCCTCATCCCATCCCTCCCACCCACCAACACAAAACAGATGCCGCATAGTCGGCCTACCGTGGGGACAATTCCACGGTCTATCAATCTCCCCCATATGCCTCACCACACCACCCATCTGCTTCTTCGACAAGGACTTCCCAATCATAATACTACTCCTACAAGCTCTCATAGCGAACATACTCCTCACCTTCGACGGCCGCGGCACATACTTCCCACCGACAGCACTCCCACCTCCATCAGCCAACAGCGCAATCAACTCCTCAAGATCTTTCACAGAAAAAGTGGTCTCCTTCGACATGGGTAATGATATGACACGGCACCTTTTTCCTACTTCCACATCACCGCTTTCATCTACTTCGAGGATAAACCCGTTTTTCTCCAGGGTGTCTAAGTGTTCTATTACGATTTCTTCTTCTACGGCTGTGAGGTCTAGTGGTAAGGGGCGCACCAATCGCTGATTCCGCACAATGGTCTCGGCGTATAACCTTTCGAAATTGTATTTCTCATCTGAGGCGTGTTGGTCGATTATGAAAAGTTCGTCTTGCGTTTGGGTTTGGAGTTTGGAGTTCGTGTTGGTGTTGGTACTGGAGTTTGTTTCACTGGATGGGCGAAGAGCGAGGATGAATCCTAGGTTGAATTGGCCGATTATGCGCATGAAGGAGAAGTCTGATTTTGATACTGTGAGGGATAGCCTGGATTCTGCGGACGATTCTTCTGGTTCACCATTCTCAATCGCTGTGTGCTCTGTCGCAGTAGGATCTGGGTTCGACAACTCATCCGCTCTCTGCAAAGCAGTTGTCAAGCTCCCGAGCGACTTCTCGATCCTCTGAACATCAGTCTTGACATACTGCACAAGCGTCAACGTTGAATCTTTCCTCGTTTTACTCCTCATCGCTGTATTCGCCCTCTTGACGTTATCAGAACTCGGTCTCGTCGCCTTTTCTTCAGCAAGTCTAATCAATTTCTCAACCTTGGCTTCCTCGCGCGCTTTCTTTTCAGCTGGATCCATGTACTCGTCATCGGAAGGATCGTCGGACGCTAAAAAAACTGCTGGATTCTTTTCGGGCGAAGAGGAGGGAGAATCAATATCGAGAATGGACGTATCGGTTTTGAGACTCGATGTTGGCAGTGCGGCTGTCCTATTTGACACTCGACGCAAAGCTGCTGGTACTGGAGTCGCATCTACCTCGTCTTCTTCGATCTCGTCGTCCGCTTCTTGCGCCATTTGACTTCCTGGAGCCGCAAACCCACGCAAACTTCTCGCAAACAACGGACTAGGCTGTGTCAACTTCTTGCCATTGGTGTAATCAAGCTTCGGAGTCATCACGCGTCGTCTCTTGAAAGCAGAATCCGGAGTCTGTCCCAGGGTTGTCACGGTCGTCTGATTGCCAATGGTTACGGTCGCTGTATCCGGAGAGGGACGCTTAGACCTCATTCGATCGAAAGCATTTTGAACGATACCCGGTGCGCTCTTCTGCGGTGTGTTTGTTACGGACGGTATCTTGTCTTCTGGTTCGGCTTCCTCTTCTTCGGCTTCCTCTTCTCTTCGTGCGTGCTTTTTTGCTGCTTGTGGTACACCCAATTTGGCGCCCTCGGCATTTACTTCCAAGAGGGCAATTCCGGTGATGAACTGAGGTACCGGCGGCGGCTCTTGTGTACTACTATTGCTGTCACCGATCAAAGCACTCGATAACTTTCGTGGTTCAGCCATTTGCACTCCCAGACGAGTGTTGAAGTCCTGAACCGGCTTTGGCAAATACGAGTTGACAGCAACGGGTAGACCATCGGTTTCTGCTGGTACATCGACAGCCCCATCACATTTCGCCGCCTCTGCAGCTTTCGCCGTTTCTCGTCTCTTTTTTGCAGCAGCAGCGGCCAATGCAGTCTTTCTGATATCCTCTGGAGTTTCAGTATCTTGGTCGACGAACTTGCGAATCGCGGCACCTGGATTCTCAGGCGCAACTGAGGATTGTAGCATCGAAGCATCAATCTCGTTGTCTGACGCTTCTTCATCACCTTCATCGTCCGCATTTTCCTTATCCTGATCCTTTTCCACAGCCTTTACAGCGCCTCCAGAAGCCTCCCTCGAAACCCTTAAAGGCTTATATGACGGCAACTTCCTATTCCCTACAACCGACGCTTGTGGGACACTCTGATCGTGCTTTTCAAATAACTCCCCCAAACCCGTCTTCAACGCTTCAAGCAACGCATTCTGATCATGTAACAGAATAGTTCTCTTATCTGGGCTAACGTTGACATCATACGCTCCAGTGTCCATTTTCAGGTTCGCAAAGATAAAAGGCGATTGCGTGACATTGTAGCTTTTATAGACTTCGTTTATGGCTTTGGCGACTTGTGGCAGAGCGCAGGGGCGTGAGTTTACGAAAAACATCTGACGGTCGGGAGTTTGACGGCCTTCGCCTACTACTGGACGCGATATGTGCCCTTCGAGATGGATTGGTTGGGCGGTGGAATTTGTATCGACTTGAGTTGACCAGTTTCGGGCGGATTGAGTTGATGCTAGGGCGGGTTGCATATGAAGCTCCATGTCCAAAGGGAGTAATGCTAGCAGTGTTTTTGCGCCATAGACGTTTGCGATGTTCTCCCGAGTCGTGGGATTCGCTTTCGTCGAGAATACAACAACCTTTTTCCTGTTCATTCAATTAACACGTGCCTATATCGTCTCTTGAAATATGCAATACTCACCCCTTCGCAGGCTGATTACTAACACTAAACCTAACCCCAACACTTATACAAGCATACGCATTCAAAAGCCCCAACACCTTCCCATACTCCCTCTTAACATTCTTAACAAGCTCCCTCCTCCTAACAGGTAAATTGCCAAATATGCCCTCCACGCACACCGTCGTGCCCCTCTGCGCAGCAACCACATTTTGCGATCTCAACTCCCCACTTGTTTCGAATTCGAGTTTCGTGCCTTTGGAGCCATCTTCCGCTTTGGCGGTTATGATGTGGAATGTGGAGAGGGCACAGAGGGAGGAGAGGGCTTCGCCACGGAAACCGAAAGTTGTTAGGGAGGAGAGGTCGGAGTAGGATGATAGTTTTGAGGTGTAGTGTTTTAGGGCTATGGTGGTGTAGTCCGTGGGGGAGATGCCGGAGCCGTTGTCTTGGACTTCGATGGAGTCGAGGCCGTTGTTTTTGAAGCGGATGTCTAGATGTTATATATTATTAGCCTTTATACATATTAATTCCTTCATGTCATACAAGAATACGTACCAATTGATGTTGCGCCAGCGTCGAGACTGTTTTCTACAAGTTCTTTTACAACGGAACAGAGGTCAACGATAACTTGTCCAGATTGTATTTGATGCACCTGTTCATGTTATTAGGATTTTATAGTCTCAAGAAAAAAGAAGCTTACAGAAGCGCCTTCAATGGCTTTAATCGTGGCCATATCAGCCCATGGTGTTGATGCTTCGAGGTGGCGGGGCTTGTAGAAGACGCGACCAAGTTTACGCGAAGTCACAGGAACAGAAATTATTAACCATCATGAAACTCTTACAATCTTTTGGCTTATACTCAATGGCGGATTGCAGATACGCTTCCCGTAAGCATTACTATTTGGTTGCTGGAAATATAAGTTTTTACAGCGTAGAATAGGTGTAGCTTACGAGATAGTCGCGGTGATTCTAGATTCCAAATCGGGTAACTATTTCTCAGCGCGGAATGCCTCCGTAAATGAGTAAAGCCCAAACGTTCTCCTATTAATATGTAAACCGAATATTTTTATTTTCTTTTACTCTGCTCTTCTATCTGTTCTTCAGTCGCAAAATAAAATGTCAAAAACATCCCCCTTCTTCTCAACCCGCATAATCCACCGTCCCCATCCCGAAGCAGTAACTTATGACCTAACATCAACATCCCACACTACAATAACCTTTCCCATAAATTCAACGTGGTCATCCGGTCTCCACTGGCATAGTAATCATACAGAATATCTCGAAGTACGTCAAGGAGCTGTTAAAGTCACTTTGGGAAGGGAAACATCTATTATCACAGCGACAGACTATTCAACCCAAAATAGTCTAACCAAAGTATCAGAAGATGGACAGGAGAGAAAGATTGTAATTGTAGAAAAGGGATTCCGCCACGAATGGTCCCGCGCATATGCCAACGACCGCATTGACGTGATTGTCCGAGAAAGTACTGATCCAGATGATGGTATGAAGACTGTATTTTTCTGGTGTGTGAATGCCATTGTTCTGGAAGGGATTGATAGGATTGGAAGCAACAACTCTAAATTGAGAAGACAGCTTGAAGGTTTGATTACGGAGTGGAAACTTATGATATTATTTTGGGAGCTGGATAATTGGCCTGTCATTTGGGATTCGAATGGGTGGGGTGAGTTGGGGAGATGGATTGAGAGCGTGAGCACGTTTGGCGTATTGGTGATCGCGATGGTGTTGGGGCGGGTTTCAAGCGTAAAAGGTGTAACAGAGAAGTATATGCCCTCGGATGTATGGAAAATACATCTTTTATCCTGTCATAAAGCGGAAAAGGGAAAGTGGAAGTAAAGCAGAGCAATGACAGTACAGGTCGACGATTTCAACACCCTACAAACCTATAATATACTAGTGATCGAACCAAGCCGCAGAATCTATAAAATAACATCTATTATTCAAAGGGTTGTCTATAGTATTGTGTAAGAACTGATACAAGAACAGCCAATATCTGCATCTAACTCTCGGCTAAACTCCGGCTCAAGATCTGGCGATCCCGCAGGGTTCCGCCCGCCCTTACCAAGATTTGCAAAACCCTGCTGCGGAGGTCCAAAAAACCCATCACCACCCACTCCCCAACACTTGAAAAACAAAATAGAAGAGACAAAAAAGAAATTATAGGTATGAGGGTCAATCCGCGAGTCGAACGCGGGGCCTCCTGCAATTTCAAGCTTTTAACCCGAGGAGTAACGCCAAAGACCAGCGCCCGAAGCAGGAATCATACCACTAGACCAATTGACCGATTTTCCGAAGCAGAATTTTCGTGGAATTCGCTGGGTGTCGATTATGATGCGGTTGCCCGAGAAGTGCGGGGCGGTGCAGACGGCTGGATACGGCGAGGTGGATGCAAGCGGAGTGGTACGGATGTCAGCAGAGGGTGGAGAGTACGGTTTAGGGGACTCGGCAATGTGGACTCGGCAAATAAAGGGAGGTATGAAGAGCAGTAATTAGAGTATTTCTACGATCTATGAACGCCAACCATGAATATAACTGTAATTCACACAATGAACACAATGCTCCTACCAACCTAACCAAACCCCTAGCCCACCGTCCTCCATAAGACCTATTAATACAACCACTAAGCCTTCAGCGCCAACTCCTCCAATTTCTCCTCCTCAGCCCTCTCCTTCAACCTATCAGCCTCCTCCTGCTCCTCCCTCTTCCTCTTCTCCTCCCTCTCCAACTGATCCGGCCTCCTAACAGCAATGTCTTTCGGCCTGTAGTCTGAGAAGGCCCACTTGAATCCTTGCTCAACGATCCAACATCCACCATAGTCAAGAACCATAAGCCCAGTGAGTACAAATTTGAATTCCGTACTGAAAGGTACAAGCTTTAGACGGCTGTTAATTTCAGGAACAAATTCCGTCGCGCACGAGAAAGCAACACCCGCCACAAGAACCAATCCATACCACATCCCCTTATTCTCACGAATACTCTCCCTAAAAGGTCGTCCCTGGTAATTAATCGCAAAAGTACTGATTTGCTGTATCAATTGCAGGAGGTAGATCGCGGAATTGAGGAGGGAAGGTTGGAATTCCCCCTCGAGGTCTATCTTCATTTTATCGGTGAGGGGTTCCGTTTTCTGCACGTAGCGGGATAGGTAGATGAGGGTGGCGATGTGGATCGCGAATTGGCCGAGGACGGAACCGATTATGTAGGGGTTGAATATGTTGTGTTGGGGACGTTCTTTGGAGAGGGCTTCGACGGGCTGGATTGGGTTTGGCTTGTTAGTTTTTGAGGGGAGGGAGTGGGGAAGGGAGGGGAGGGAAATTGTACCTTTGCGCGTGATATTGATAGGAAGCAGACGCTCATCATCATACCACTGATAGTGACCTGCCCATCTCCAAATTTGATGCCATCGAGGTAGAGCACACTCAGCGAATAAGCCGAAATAAGACAGTTCAGCGCTAGAATCTTGTACATTTGTATCGTTGCCACGAGTGTACACCTACCTTGTCGGATGATATTCGGTATGGCAATCACATTCGCCAACTTCGACGTAAATGGTGCTGCCACAGATGCATCTCCCAACTTAATAGTGGGAGGCTCATTCTCATCAAGTTCTTGCTCCATCATCGAAGTCGTAAGTTTTTCAGTCATAGCACCAAGACTCTGCTGCGCAGCTTTCTTCTTCTGCTCTTTCTGCTCCGCTGGTGTGAGGTTTTGACCTTCCTTCGCGCCGGTATCGAGAAGTGCTTTCGCGCCTGGACTTGTGATAGTGGTGATAGCAGCACCGTTAGTCTCAGGTTCTTTGGGAGCCTCGCCATTCTTCGCAGCTTTCAGATCGGCTTCCCTCTTGATAGCGGTTTCGTAATGAGGATTGGTGTCGCCAGGTGGATATAAATGCGCTATCAATACAGGCACAGGAGGTGTGGGTTGATTAAATCGCTTCATAACGGAAACTTGCTTCTCGTATATTTCCTTCATTTTCGTGTTGCGGTAGTGCTCGCCGATCTTGTCTAGATCATTCTGTGTGCCATTCAATAAAGCAACACCGATGTGTGCTTGTTTCAGTGCGCCAACGTCGTTGGTGCCATCTCCGCACATGAGTGTCGTGTAACCCATTTCCTTGAGACCTAAAAGAATTTCTTCTTTCTGTTTCGGTGATACACGTGCATATACCCATGCATATCGGAGTATTTGATTCAATGCTTTGGGGTGGTTCTTGTATTTCGCGAGCGCATAGCCTGTAACGCAAAGATCTTTCGTCTTCAGAATCTCAGGATCGAGTAGAGCGGAAGGATCAACGGGGATATTGACTTTGTCATCAACACTGCGCCAGTGCAATTCTTCCCCAGAATCATTATCTTCTGGCGCATCAAGAACGAGGCATTCGCGATCCACGATTTCGACTTCGCGAGCGACATGGACAGCAGTGAGTGGGTTGTCTCCCGTAATCATCACAACGCGATGGCTTGACTCGTTGAGCATACGTACTGCCTGCTTTGCATCGTCTTTGAGTGGTGTTTGTAAGACGAGGAAACCGGCAAACGTGAGGTCTTTCTCGACATCCTCACGTTTGAGATCGTTGATTTTGCCCATACCGAGTTCATTCTCCGAGGACAAGTACCGGTATGCTAACGCTAGTACACGAGCTCCATTTCGGGTGAAGTACTTGAAAGTTTCTTCGTAATGAGGTGGGGTTTCAATGAGCATGTGTCGTATAGTTTCTGGTGCTCCTTTGACGCCAACAAAAGTAGCCTTGGCGCGCTTTTGTGTTTTCTTGTTTGTGGTGATAATGGTGGCTACCGAGGACTGCCTCTTCAGTGATGATGCGAATTGGAAACGTCTTCGAATCTGTACCATATCTGTATGTGTCGCGAACCCAGCTCCGGATGAAGAAGAAGCCTTATTTGCAGTGAGGATATCATTGCGCCCAAGTGTCCATCCCAAAGATGCAAGTGTAGCTTGTTCCATGGGCTCTCCAACAATGTCTCCATCTTCAAGCTTGACGAGTGCATGTGCTGTGGCAAGAACAAGAGTGGACTCCTGCCCCACTTCCTTCAATCCAGTCAGATGGCTATGAGCGCCGTCTGCTTCCGTCTTGACACTCGAATCTCCAAGGTCCAACCCAGCGACACCATCAACGACCAGATTCTCACCAGTAAGCGTTCCAGTCTTGTCAAAGCAAGCGATATCGACACGGCCAGCGAAAGGTATCCTAAATGGCTCTGTGCAAAAGATGGCATAGCGACTTAGAGCGGCGAGGGAAGTATTCACAGCCAAGCTCAACTCCATGGGTAATTCTGGTGGAACGACACTCGTAATGATAAGAACGCAGTCGAGTAGTAGCTTTGATCGCTTTCGGTCTCGCGCGACACCTTCTTTCCATACGTACCAAGATGCAGCGATTGCGAAGATGAGGAGGAATAAGATGAACAACAGGGCTTCCACGTTGTTGGCAGAGACACGTTCGGTGGCGAAGATCATGGTGCGAACTAAGCTTCCTTGACTCGTCTCGAATCCAGTCTTCAGTACGATAGCCATGGCTCCCTTGTCTGGTGGTGGAGGTACTCCTGATGAAGAGACAGGCACGACATCTGGCGCATCTTCCACAGTAATCCCATGGCTAACCTGGAGCACTTTAGTGCCGCCATACAGAAAAGCGTTCTTATCAAGCGCTTCCGGTTCGAGTTCAGCCTCGCCTGGCCGAAGTTGAACAGAATCTTTGAGCACAGGAGTGCTCTCTCCTGACAGCATGGCCTCATTGACGATCGCCGTCCCCTCAACCAGTAACATATCGCAAGCAACCCCACTATCCTCCTTTGTACGTCCTATAGACACCAAGTCGCCAGGCAGTAACTTGTCACTCTGAATCTCTTCCCATTTCTTCATCCGGTACACCCAGAGGTCGTAGGGCTTGATGCTCATGCCGCGGAATTCGTTAAGTGTTCGTTGCCTTTGCCACACAACTGTGCTTTCAAATGCGACCAACATGAATAGCGTAAACAGCGAGTAATACCAGTATTCGTCCAACATCCATAGCCCCACGCAGAAAATCTGGAAGATGAAAAAGGGAGCCACGGCGTGTTCCTGAAAGAGTTCCGTAAAAGTAGGAACGGGAATATCAAAAGCATTATCCCCATAATGCTGCTGTAACCTCTTAATATCCGCCGCAGAAGTCAAGCCCTTTGAGCGCTGAAAGATCTTAAGTCGCGGTTTCGGCTCCTCATCCACAGCATAAATCAAAGGAGCAAAAGTCCCCTTCTCAGCATCATACAAAAACCTCCTCTTCTGAAACAGAAAACTGATATTACTCTTCCCATCCACATTCTCCCTCCTCAGCGGCACAATCTCCGGACTTCCCGCATTAGCCACAGGAATCAATTTGATCAACGTCGCCGTACGTAAATCGCTTGCCCTCGTAGCGGTAATTACAGCGCGAACATTGACGTTCCATTTTGTTGATAACCAGAGTAATGCTTGCAGGCAGAATATACCGCCGGACCAGAGGAAGGTCCATTCTTGAGCGCCGAGGTGTTTGTTGTATTTTTCTTCGGAGAGGTAGAAGGAGAAGAAGGCGGGCCAGATTAGTATGAAGGGCCAGATGTAGGTGTGGAGGGATAGGGGCAGTGGATTGTGGAGTGATGCCGCCTTGATTTGGGGGTTGTCGACGAGTCCCGGCATCGTGAATTGTCGAGAGGGGATGGATGGGGCTGGATGGGGTTGGTGAGCGAAAGATGGCGACTTGCAGACTTAAAGAAAGTCGCGTACGGCCAGCGGCGGGAATCTTGGAGATACGTATAGACCTTCAGGGTCTCGCCATCTAGGCTTTTTTTGGCGACAACGAATCGGAGTTAATGCTTTTTTGATAGACACCTTGATGCCTGGCAGCCTCGCGACTTTTGGACATGGAATGTTACATTGAAGTTTGAGCTTCGAGTTGAGTCACAATTACAATGCAAATACATTCACTCCTTTCGAGGCTCTTTACCTTTTTCACACTGCAGCACACCACTCAATTGAACTAATCAACTGATTTTAACTCCATTTTCCAGCGGTTGCACACTCAACATCTGGACACACGACACCCCACCATGGCAGACCCACCAAAGGAAGCTCCAAGCAGTGAAGCTCCGGGTGAAGGCGACCCCAAAGGCCCCTCCAAACGTGCCCTTGAGAAGGAAAGGAAGAAAGCAGAAAAATTAGCCAAGAAAGCCGAATACGCCGTTCGCCCTAAAGAATCAAAACCCACTCCCTCTGCCAAAGATAAAGATGCCTCTTCCACAACAGCAACCACA